TTCTTCTTCTTCTTCTTCTTCTTCTTCAACAGGTTCAAATAAAATTTTTAATGGATCTTTAAAAAAAAAAGACAGAATGTTTAGTTCTCCATGAAGTAATCAATGTACATGTATTCAAGTGTACTCTGACTTGCAGAAGAATATTTCTTTATAATATTTGCCTCATTAGCATAAGCAGTACAGTTTCTGATGGAGCTACTAAGACATTAGTTCTGAATATTGAAAGAGCATAGCACGATTACCTGTCCCAAGGAATTGGAGACCAATGCATTGAATACATGTACTTTTTGTGCCACGCAGGTTTAAAAACTCAAAATTTTACAAAGAATGTATAAGCTCATTAGTGCCATTGCCACCCAGAAATCTAACAGTTTTTGAAAGCCAATTTCTCCTCGAATATTACACCCAAAGAGCCAAACATTTCACCAAGTACTAAGTTTCACAAGCTCTTTAAATGCTTGTGGTCAATTTGTGTCTAGAATGATGCCTTCTCTGTGCAAAGTCATATGTTAATGAGGAAAAAATGTAAACAATGACATCAGCAAAGATTCCCTTATTTAACAAAGTTCTGCATTTGTTATGCTACATGTCCATGTAACATGTGGTATTTTGGGATATAATGCCTATTATTATTTCTTTATTCAAACCAAGAAACTAGGTACATGATTGTAGAATTTAAAGTTTGTTTTTCCCTCTTAACTGAGTTTTTTCAATCTTAATGGTCGGAGAAGCCTGAGTCTTCTCTTGACACTGTGCACTCCTGAGTAATTTTACCATTCAAGTAAACCATTTTTTTAACTATTTACCTCCTGCTGGATCTTTTATCGGTAAACATCCTCTGTCAACACCGGCGATGAAACCTCGCATACTTTCCAGGCATTCCAAAAAGTCATCATGATCAGCCTTGAAACTCGGAGGTGCATTCAGCAAGTATTTTGAAGCAATTAAACGGAGGACCTCTCCTTCTGTAGGAATGGGACTCATGGGTGTTTGGGGAGCTTCAGCAACCGTACATGAAGACTGAGTATGCCCAGATGACACAGGTATTGCAGATGTCTCCTGGGGCCCACCATCTTGAGATGCTGAAACAAGAGTTCTATCCTGTGTGTTGTGTTCTGCAGGTGTCATGTTTTCCACATCAATGCTTAATTTCAAAGCTGTTGAATTAGAACAATTTTCAAATATTCCAACATTTAGTTTAAATCTTTTATGTCATATACTGGTTATAATATTTACATGTAGTTTATAATCTCCTTTTTCTTATACAATGCCTGACACACTTCTGTCTTTTCATCGAAACTGGCATGCATACTAAATTTTTTTCTAAA